TTAGGTAGTAAGGCTGGAATCCACAGGAATAGGGTCTTCCCAGGTGACCCTAATGGTAAAGAATCCTCCTGCCAAAGCACGAGAGGCAGGAGACATGGGTTTGATCCCCGGATTGGGAAGATTCCCCTGAAAGAGGAACTGGCAACCCACTCTAGTATTCTTCCCTGGAGAATATCCATGGACAGAGGAGCCTAGCAGGCTATAGTCCCTGGAGTCACAAAGAGTCGGATATCACCAAGCGACTGAGCATTCAGGCGTGCCACATGAACAGAATAGTCTTCAGACTCCTTGACCTCCACCACCATCTGAGGACTCAGCAGAAAGATGGCTATCTATGAACCAGAAAGCAGGCCTTACCAGACACCAAATATGCCTAAGCCTTGACCTTGGACTTCCCAGACTCCAGAGCTGTGAGAAATAAATGCTTAAAAGGCACCCAGTCTATAGTATTCTGTTATACCAGCCTGAAATAGGACATGTGCGAATCTGCACAAGTGAGAAGTGTAAGGAAAAAATTCTTCTGTAGTACTGAGCCCCTGCCATAAGGGGACTGTGCCTGTACAGACATGGTCTATCTCCTTAAGTCATCTGGTAAACCTGTGACTCCTTACAGAGCACTATGAGTGTACATCCTGGTGATGGTGAGTCCTTTGCCCAGGACTATCTCACCACGGCCCTGCTCTTAACCACAGTCTGACAAAAGCTAAGTGAACAAGCAGGAGATAAAATAAGACATCCCCATCTCCATAAACAGCATCAAGAAACCTCTACACACACAAATGGTATAAAGCCAGGCAATTTAGCAGAGTAGCCTCTGCAACTCTCCCTGTTTGTGGAAAAAAAAAACAACAAAAAAAGAAGTCAATCAAGGCATACATTAATACCACCAAAGGACACCAGCCTAACATAATACTGTGCTTTGAGATAGCTAGACTGTATTAAATGGTGACTCTCAAAGTGACCCAACCCCAGGGAGGCCTGCCAGAGTAGAGGGGTTAGAGTTGAAAAACCGGCCCATACTTTCTCTTGTCTGCTAGATCATAACCTTCATTTGTACCTGTGTGTATGCTAAGTCGCTTCAGTTGTGTTTGATTCTGTGACCCCATGGACAGTAGCCAACCAGGCTCCTCTGTCCATGGGATTCTCCAGGCAAGAATACTGGGGTGGGTTGCCATGCCCTCCTCCAGGGGATCTTCCTGACCCAGGAGTCAAACCTGGGTCTTCTGCATTGCAGGCAAATTCTTCACCATCTGAGCCACCAGGGAACCTCTATTTGTACATTATACCTAAATTAAATACAGGATCCTACAGAGAGTAAGACTTCCATTGTCTCCCAAACCTAAAGCCTTTTAAAGCCATAGGCAGTAACAGGCACAACAGGAGGCGAAAGAGTCTAAGAACCAGGAGCATAGACAAGCCCCCAAGATGACAGCTTACTGTGAATGGCGTTGCATTCTTGATTCCCAAAGAAGATGATTTAGCTTCGGGACCTGGGACCAGGCTTGATCACTCAAGAGCTTTTGTGTAGCAGAGTTTTATTAAAGTATGAAAAGGGGCACAGAAAGCTTCTGACATAGATATCAGAAGGGGGACGGGAAGCACTATTTGAAGCTAATAAGACAACACTCTACACATGGCCCAGAAATTTTACTTTTTCCTAAAATTTATAAGTTCAAAATCTAGAATTCATGCTATAAACATAACTTCCTTGTAGCTTCTAATCAAGACTATGAACAGAAGAATTCCCTCACATAAATGGGTATTCATCTTAAGTATCAACCAACCAATAACAGGAATCCAATTTAAAGATGGGTAGAATGTATTCCAATTATTAATCATTTAATTCATATCACTTTTCTTTTGTCCAACCTGGGGATTAGTCCTATAGCCTTTAAACTAGAAAAGGACAGATAAACCATTCTCATTTTTACCAAATTGAGTGGTAATATATTCTCTAGCTGTCACTTTACATCGTGTTATTGACTTTCAGATTAAGCAATGCCTCTGAAGTCTGGACAAAGTCCACACACTGACACATTTTATTTCGGGGAATTCCATTATTGAGATGACTGAACATATGATCATTTGAAGCCATAATTTATTTATGCCCTTAATACTAGACTTGCTTTTAAAGCATGAGCAAAGGAAGAGTAGACTGTTTTCATGCATATGATTGCCATTATAATCACTCATTTTTAACATAATAAAAATGATGGTCATCCATTTGATTAGACAAATCAAAGAGCTCAAACTAGTGTACATCACCCTTGAATTTCACGATACACTTATCCTAATCTTTCCAACATCTAAATCTGAAGGTGTCACGTATGTTCAGAATGCTGTCTATTATAAAGTCAACATTACATTTTTATATTTTGCATGGCAATAATATACTTGGATGTATTTTTATAGGTTTTTAGATTTGAAATTAGAAATTAACATCAAACTACCTGAAACATCATACAGTATATAACATAAGATAGCTGAGCCTGAATGCAAATAAAATTACATTATTATACTAATTTACTTTTTCATAGCATTTTCATAAATATTATTTCATTAAAATGTTTGTAGATGATTCAAAGGGGCAAGACAACATCACCAAAAATTTCACCAGAAGCAAAGCCCCATTCCTAACCTAAAGCATGTGTATACAGAACAAAACATCAGAACAGGATATGTTTCATGAAACGTATTTGAGGAAGCAAACAAAAATGTGACTTTGATTTAAATAACAAATGAGGTAATTTTTCAAAAGCCAAATAAGAGGCTCTATTTTGAAGCATCTGAGTGAAGAAGAAAGCACAGATCCTTACCTGGAAACAACCAGATCTCACTTTCCTTGGTCTCTAATCCTCAGCAGGTGCTGAGCATTCTATACTCATCCATAAAGGGGAGGCTGCCATGGCCCACTCTGTATGACTTGATACTTTCAATGAAAATCTAAAAGTGAGAAACCAGCTAAGTATAATATGTGCAATGTCTGCGATTCAAGAAGACAATAGTCATAGAAGGTGGCAGTATTGATTTTCAGTAAGAAAATAAAGGAACTACACCAGCTAAAAGGACAAGCTGCAAATGAACACACATTCAGAGTGAAACAAATGAAGATATACTCTATCAGCATCCTTAGGGTAGACCATTCTCCCTAGTACTAAAATAATAAAACAACACCAGGAGTCAAGTTACAGGAAGGTGCTATTTGGCCCTTTTTGAACTAATAACCACTGGCTCCTTCGCTAATTCTGGAGCTTGCATTTTTAAGCAGACACTTTCAAACAACTTACATCCTAGCAATCTCCTTCAGTTACTTGCATGGTCTTAAGGATCTGAGACATCCATTCGATGTTAGGAAATTGTCTCTACACACAAGGGGGCCTGCACCCCAAATCAAATCTTTAAACTTCTCTTTCAGGGACTGGATTAGGACCTCAGAGAAAAAGCAGACTTTCTTTTCAGATCAGGTAAGAGAAATACACTTTTGCCCACTTTCTCCCGGGATGCTAGTTGCTGCTGAAAAGCCAAGAGAAGCCAGCGCGCCGCGGGGGGGTGGGGGTGATGTGTCTCGGGGGACGGGGCGCGGGGGGCTGGTCCTTGCGGCGGTAGATGTATGAGTTCAGAAGTTCTTATTCTTATCTTTCTACCATAATTGGCGATGTGACCCAAATACAAGGAAACCTTCTCGTTCCATTAACAGACCCAATTTGGATTAAGCAGCTCCGCGGGAAGAAACGACATCCTCCCGGCGGTAGCTAGCTGTTCTGCACTCTTGAGAGAATTCTCTTAGTTTCATGTTAACATTTGGTTAAGGAGATGCTGGTAGGTCAGATTTGACACTGTGAATCCACTAAACCGTTTTAGAAGGACTTTTTCTCTCCCGAATGGCTAGCCCTAGGAGCTCAGCCCCAGCGCCAACAACCTTTCCGGTGAAACACGCACTCTTGGCTTGTGGGCGGCGGGGAGGGGAGGGTCCCGCTCGCCGGCCCCCCACCCTGCAGCGGCGCGCCTGAGAGCTGGGCGACCTGCTCTTTCTTTCGCTGTTTCTCCTTGCAATGTGCAAATTCTTCCCTAGCTGGGCGCAGGTAGACAGGACCGCCACCTGCTCATCCCAGAGGATACGCTGCAGAAAACTCGAGTGGATCGTGTGCGGACGCAGGCTGGTCGCCAGCGGCGACAACTTTACAGATTTGTTCATGTTAGTTCTGGACCGGGTAAAATAGACCCCTAAAGACAGGAAGCAAACGCCCCTCTATAAAGCCCACTACCGTGTCACGCCGGCTCCCTGGAGCCACACTGGGTCAGTTCCCCGTCTTGCTCACCCCGCACAGGCACCCCAGGAACGCACTGCGAATGACGCCCGCCCCCCTCCCCGCAGTGGCTGCCCGGGGAGGTCGAGGTGTGCAGGGACCAGCAGTGCCGGAAGGGAACATCCCCGCCCCTCCCCTCCCCGCAACCCGGTCCTTCCCGGGGCAGGAAAGTGCTGGCGAGGCTCCGGCCCGCGGAGGACTCGGACATCCCCAGCTCGGAGCGGGGCCGCCGGCGGGGTCCCCGCGCCCGGTTCCGGGGCTGGGGAGCGCGTGCGGCAGGTGCAGGGCCGCGGCCCGGGGAGCGAGCCGCTCTTACGTGCTCCAGCTTGTCTTTCCTCCGGAGCCAGACGCTGGCGCTGTAGTCCTGCTGCTTGACGCTGCTGTAGAAGTTCGCGCCCACTCGGGTCAGGCTCGGCGACGGCTCCTTGGGGCGGCTTTTCAGCCTCATCTGCTCGAAGCCCTCGTGCGGGGAGGCCGAGAGCCACTCATGCTGCCGGATCTCCATCCTGACATGACCAGACGGCTGCCGGCGCGCAGCGGGCTCGGGATGGGCGTGCAGGAGGCCGGCCGGGGCTGAGGGAGGAGCGAGCGAGCGCGGGCCGGGCGCGGGGAGCGCGGGGGAGCCGAGCGCGGGCAGGGCGGGGTGGAGCGGGCGGGGAGGGAGGGGGAGGAGAGGGAAACGAGGGGAGGAAGATGGGGCAGGAGGGACGCGGCGAGCTAGGCGGAGGCGCGGCGTGCGGGCGCCTGCGGTCCAGGGCTGGCGCTCAGAACACCGGCCCCCGGCGGCACCGATTGGGCCGGGTCGGCCTCGGGCGGAGTGCGGCGGGAGGGGGCGGAGTGCGGCGGGAGGGGCCGCGCGCGCCTGCAGGTTGGCGCAGTGAGGAGGCCGAGGACTGCGAGTCCGGCCGCCGCCCCTCCCGCCGCGCCCAGGCGGGCGGCGGATCTCCCTTCCGCATCCTTCCCTCAGCAGGGCTCCGTCTCTTCCCCTCGGATTTTTTACTCGAAAGCTAACCGCGCCTGGACAAGTCAGCACCATCTCCGCGCCCCCGCCCTCCTGGGAACCACCCTGCCCTTCCCCCCACTCGCCACCCCGACCTCTGCCTCCCCTCTTTCTCAAAGTTCAGTAACTTCCAGCCTCACGAGCCCATTTATCCCACCCCTGGGGACTCCCAACAGAAGGGGTCCAGTAACCCCAGAAAACGGCCCCAAGGACAAGTGTCTTCTTGAGTCTGATGCGCTTTCCTGGGAGGGTGTGTAGAGATGCGGACCCTCCGGGTGCGGTAGCCCAGCGGCGGAGCAAGGCTCCCCACAGCCTCGCCCCTCGGATCCTGGGAGGGCGATTCCAGAGGACACTCTGCCTCCGCTTCGTTCTGGAGGCATTTGGAGTGCTGTGTGGTTCTCTTCTTGGTTCCCAAGCTCCCTGAACCAGGTTTGCATGCCCAAACCCTTTTACGAGTGCTTTCCTTCCCCGGCTCAGTATTAAGATAGTGTGGCATGATTTTTTAGACAATTTTTTAGAAATAAGGTGGCATATTGATCATTAAATCTTAATAATCTCTTTATCCTTTTGCTATTTTTAAAATCAACATTTTCCAAAACATTCTTTGGTTTTTCCGAAAAGCCGAATAACAACTAGTGTTAAGGATTTCTCAGGTCCATTTAAAAGCTTGTTAAGTGTTTGAAAGCTGAAGTGTAATGGAGAGTTTAAAGAGCCGCAAAGGATAAACTGATCTCTCTGGCCCTTGGCAGAAGAGTTACCCAGAACTATTCACCTTGCTTGATAGTTTCAAAGAATAAAATTCTGGGTTGGAATTTGCTGAAGTTCTATGAAGGCAAGGATTGTGTATCATATCCTTTTAAAGTCTCCAAATGAAAAGATGATATTTTAATAGTAGTCATTGAAATAAAATCCAATGAGCAGTCAGTTTGAGGATGCAGCAACTACATATAAACAACACACAATTCTTGGTTATTCTAAATCGATTTTCTTAGGAGCTGAATTGCATTGTGTAATGTATCTGCAGTCTATGGGTTATCTCTAAATCTCAACAGTTTGCAAAGACACAGGTTATTCATCCCATTTTCCTGGTGATGGAAAGAATTAAGACTCAAGCATGAATCACACTTCAAATCAAGGATTTGAACCACGTTTAAAAGACAGCTAATGCTATACATACCACTGGCTTGTCTCTCATATTTTGATATTACAATTTAACTTTCACTGATTTTGCTTTTATTTAAGTATAAACATACAAGTTAAATGATTACAAGTATGTGTGTGTGTGTATGCACTCACACACACAATTGTGTCAGACTCTGCTATCCTATGGACTGTAGCCCACCAGACTCCTCTGTCCGTGGGATTATATACCTGCAAGAAAACTGGAGTGGGTTGCTATTTCCTCCTCCAAGGGATCTTCCCAACCCAGGGATTGAACACCATCTCCTGCATTGCAGGCAGATTCTTTACTGCTAAGCCACCGGGGAAGCCCACAGTTTGTGTGTATGTTTGTGTGTATCTTTTGTAATATTGGTGTTAGAAAAATCAGACTGCCCTTTTGTAAGGCTACCTCTGCTTCTCTGCTTTTTGTTCTAAATATTACACTGTAGGTCATGTGATATAGCCAAACCTTGACAAGAGACAGATTTGCAATTCAGAGTAATAATGAAATGTTCCACTGTAGTTGAATTTAAACAAATGGTGTCCATATCAAGTCAGATTTTCATATTGAATAATTTTTTTTCTTTACCTTTTTAGAGGAAAACACTATAGATAATACCACCATTTTTTAAAAATAGGTATACTGGTAGCATACGTGTTACAGGCAAACTACTAAATTGAACAGTAAATCACTTCATAGATAATGTTTTATGATAAAAAAAATCAGTCAAAGCATAAATTTGTACTGTTTAATATTTAATCTACTTAGTATACAGTGCCAGATATCAAAATGGATTCAACAAATTTAAATAAACCTGGGTTTAATCATATTCACAATATTTTTTTCTCTCTTGAATCCTGTCCAGATTCTTTGATGATGACATTAATGTGGATTTTTCTGGTTGACCTTCAAAAGAACACTGTATATGAAATGACTTAGTTCAAACTGTTGTGGAGAAGATAATATTTCTAAAGACAGCCAATGAGATTTTAGTATGAGAATCTCACACTAAAATATTTTTGAAATATGTAAATATTGTTGCTGCTGCTGCTGCTAAGTCGCTTCAGTTGTATCTGACTCTGTGCGACCCCACAGACAGCAGCCCACCAGGCTCCGCCATCCCTGGGACTCTCCAGGCAAGAACACCGGAGTGGGTTGCCATTTCCTTCTCCAATGCATGAAAGTGGAAAGTGAAAGTGAAGTCACTTAGTCATGTCCGACTCTGCGACCCCATGGACTGCAGCCTACCAGGCTCCTCCATCCATGGGATTTTTCCAGGCAAGCGTACTGGAGTGAGTTGCCATTGCCTTCTCCATAAATATTGTTGAATTTATATTAAGTAATTCGCACCCATAACACTTTTTCCTATACATTTTCATAGCTCTTATAAGTTCTTATTGCAGCATAGATGTTATAATTATCTATCCTATCAGTCCATTGGCTTTTTGGGGAACTGGAACCACACCTGATCCTTTACTGTGCTAAATGGTTTTCATATGATTTCAGTAGGCTTCAAGTTTATCTACTAAATGGAGATTAATCATTACTACCTCAAATAATTCCTACAGGGCTTAAATTATATAATACATAAGAAAACACTATGAACAATAGGCTGCTATATTGTTATCAGAGCATTCAGGCACAGGAAAGTACTTTATATAATGCCAATGATATTGTCATTTTCATTGGCAGTTATGTCAATTAATCTTGGTTGCTTGTAATCAGTTATAGAAACTGCACTGATCCACAAATTTGCATCTCATTAAAGTTTGTATTTATTCTATAAGCACTTTACCCAGTCTTGGTAAAGTCATTACTGGTATTTTACACACTTTCAAACTGTATAGCATTTTCAAGTAAAACATACACGATCCATCAACATCTATTGATTTCAAACTTAAACTTAACAGATACCATTGGCCAGAAATTGTTAACATTGTCTGAGTTAAACATTTTGCATGGATGTAAAACCTAAGGCTAGAGCAGGCTGAAAGTATTAAGAGGTAACAGGGAGGAGTGTTTTATTAAGCCTTTCATAACAATAATGGTACCTTACATTTCTACAATATTTACATTTGTAGCATGTTTTCATACCCTTTATCACATTTTTACTTCATGGAAAAATTATCTGAAAGTTGTCTTGATCACAGAGTCTGGTCTACAAGCTGTGTTCATTGACTCTAAATAAAGGATTTTTTCTCTAACCTAAAATCAAAATATCTCAAATGAATACTTCTTAATATACAGCATTTTACTTTTTAATGTTTACTTTTACTAAGTTATAACCAGGTTTTGTTAAAAGTTTATTAAAATATTTCAATAATTAGACCTGCCTTGGTAGCGTGCATTATGTCCTCCCTAATTACCTTCGCAGTATTAAAGATCATATTAAAACATTGACCCAAGAAATACTCTAGTCTTTGTTGTCTTTGTTGTCAATAAGTTGATCCAGCTGCTTAAAACTGCATTACTTGAAAAAAAAAAGAGACTATTTTTTAGAACCCTTTAAGGTTCACAGCAAAATTTAGGAGAAAATACAAAAATTTCCTATATCCACCTGCTCTATATATGGATAGCTTCCCTCATCGACATCACTCACCAGAATCGTACATGGGTTACAACTGATGAGCCTATACTGATAACATTATAAACACCCCAAGTCCATAGTTTACCTTGGAGTTTGCTCTTGATGTTGTAAGTTCTATGGGTTTTGGACAAATGTATAAAGACATTATCCATCCCTATAGTGTCACAGAATACTTTCAGGGCCCTAAAACTCCTCAGTGCTCCACCTATTCTTCTCCCCTGCAACCCACGCCCATGTCTATAGCCATGTAGTTGTTACTGATTAGTTATAAAATGACAATGAGGATTTTTGAAATATTAAATTATTAACAAAGTGAATTTATCTGCATACAAACTTCTTTTGGGCTAGCAATTCTTTTTTTCAGTACCTACTTTGCTGGTCACTGAATTGGTGCATCACCAAAGGTATTATACATTTGTTTCTCACAAAAACCATGCAAAGTAAACATAATCATTCCTGTGTTTCAGATGAGGAAACAAAAGACTCAGAAAGATCAGCTTGCTCAAGAGACACAGCTAACGAAAGCCAATGCTATGGCTGAAACTCAAGAGTGGGTCAACTCTCAATACCGTTTTCACAGCACAAACGTGTCTGGTCTTGTGTGAGTCCCTGGAATCTCTGCTGGGTTAAGAGTGCCACAGTGAGCCAGAAAGAAGCTGCTAAGTAGTGGGAAAAGTTGATAAGCCCCCAGGATGAGGCTCTAGTAGAATGAGTTTATACTGTTAGGTGCTCACATCTTACTCACACAAGGATAACCAAATGAGATAGCAGTGTGATATTTCTGAGTGTTAAAAACATTAGTTCTAGTGCCAACTCACTTGACAACCAACCAGTTGTGGGACTTAATCAAAATACTTTGCCTAATTACATCTGCCAAGTTGCTATGGTTTAATCACAAAGTTGACCTCTGCAGTGAGCACTGGATAGATCTATCATGTCCACACATCTGATTGTCTGTGTCACAAAACATTAGCCAATGTCTATACTGAGAAAAAAGTAAAGAGGTTAGTTGAAAAGATTAACTGGATGCTTAGTACAACAAAAAGCTTCTGAAAAAAGAAAGAAAAGAAATTTCTTTTTTTAGAAAAAAGAAATCTAAATCATCCTAATTCATAGTGTGGATAGATTAAACCATTCAGACAGTTGCTTAAATTGTCACTTCATGTGGCCTTTATGCCTACAGCCATTGAACTGTGAATTCATACTTGAAAATCACCCAGACAGTCTAAATTCAATTATGAGTACCTGGGACAATTTTTTAT